TATATATATATTTAACTTTGCGAAGAAATAATTATTTCAAATCTGAACTGCAAATTTGTGTGTGTGTGTGTGTGTTTGGGATATAAAACGTATCAATAAAATTCGATGATAAAGAAAGAAATATCAAAACTTTTCAGCACGTATCAGTAAGACAAGTTAACAAGATATATTGAAAACTGAGCTATATATTATATCTATTAAGAGATGGTTTTATCTTCCATATGTCTTTACGTATGAAGAATTTCAAAAATATTTAATTTGTTTAAAGGATGATATATAAAATAAAAGTTTTCAACAATTGCATATTATTTTACAGACTTCCATAATGATTATTATTAATGGCAATTATTTTCGATCTTCTGTATGTAGATTTATCGCTTAAAAAAATTTAAAATACTTCAATTATTTCACTAAATTGTACAATTACGCAATAAGAAAAATATTCAAAAATATCCATTAGATGACAAGTATTGATTAGAAAAATGAAATCCCTATTTATTTCAAATAGTGAAAGATTCCACGCTCTCTCTATGCTCGTATTATATCAAAGGAACCACCACTCGATCCACACCTGCGTCGCGATCCCGCGGAGCGGGGGCGGCGAGGACGACGACGGTGGTGGCGGTGGTGGAGGTGGTGGCGGTGGCGGCGGAGGCCGCGGCCGCGACGGCGTAGAGGACGGCAACGAGGAGGCACCGCTGCCAGTAGCTCCCAGGCAGTGACTCCGCGCGTAACATGTAACCGGTGGCCATCCAACGTGGTGTTATGTCATCGGTGACAATCCCAGGACGCGGAGGAGCCTCGGACGGCGGTGCGCGGCCGAGTCGAGGATAAAGTGCGAGTGATTATAGGGGAAGCGCGCCGAGTGGAATCACGAGCGTTGCACGGAGATCGTTCGTTGTAGGAAGGTGTTTTCCGCAGGTTCCCCATCTTCTCCCGACATCGGTACATTCACCTTCCTCGCTAGACGTTAAGAGCTCGGGTTGCGAGGGCTCCGATGGGACGAGCTTGGCGCTCAGCGATCGGGCCATCGTAAGCTCGGTGCCGCAAGTTCGACGCGAATCGACGCGCCGCGACGACGAGCCCTGATGAGGATAGACACCCGTGCTCTCGCGTGTCCCCGTTCGGCTGCGCGGCGTCGTGTCACGGTTCGATAGCCGGACAAACGCCGGCGACCTCGGCTTCGACGACTCGAGCGTCGAGATCGGAAGCGAACGGAGTCGTTCCGGTGGATGTCGACGAACTCACGGCCCCAGAGTTGCATTGACAGCACGATTATATCGCGGTGATTACGGTCGCGCGACGGGAACAGGCGGCTGGTCCCAGGTACAGTAATAGTAGACGCGGAAGCTTCGTTCCGGGACGACAATGGCGTGATGGCCTTGAGTTCGATTGCGCGAGAACGAGTTCGGTGAACGGTCGTTTGCGGGGTTCGTTTCGACTTGGCGCGATCGAGATCGCGCAATCCAAGCGCTATATCGCGTTTAGCTACCGGGTGTCTACGATGCACAGTGCGGTAAATGGGTTCACGCGTCTAGATTACATTCAAGAAATACGCCGGAACGGAATAGCGAATCAAAGTATGTAAAATACGAGATCCAATCGTGCACGTAGGCGGTTTTTCGTAGGAGGAGGATCGTATGTTGTATCGCATTTCGACAATCCGCGATAATTCGATATAGCAGTCATCGTCCAAGTCATCACTATCGATCGTCGACAATCAAGTGGCCGGATGCGATTCCGTCGGGCGAGAGAGACAGAGTAACCACCGTTCGTTGAATGGAGTGATGAGCGGGGCCCCTGCGCGGGGCACAGTGCCCCGTCGTCAAAGACGCCATCATCATCATCATCATCACGACCACCATCATCATCATCAGAAGCATCCGAAGCGCGTCCGGGACAAAGTGTCGCGAGATAGAACGCTGGACGAACCGGAAGAGAAACGGCCGAAAGTCAATCCGATCTTCCTCTGGGCGTCACAGCGCGAACAGAGGATCGTCGAGGTGAGATGCGAGGATTACGATAAGCGGAATCGCATCAAGCTCACCAAAACCGCGCAAGGATGGCGCTCGATACCGCGTACAACGTCCAACGTTTATACGATCGCCCTGGCCACCGCCTGCAAGAGAACGACGTCAAGCCCGGTCGAGACGTTATCGGCCTCCTCGGTCTCGTCCAACGACGAGAAGGAGAATGGCAAGCGGCACCAGGAGGTCGCGCCGACAAACGTGATGACAAACTCCCATCGACGTCATCCGCGAAAATATACGGCAAACGGTGCGACGAACGGTTTGCTTACTGGCGAAGGCGCAGGCAGAAAGAGACGTTACGATGAAGAGGCGAGTCGACGAGGATATTCCTATCCTCTGGGAGCCCATGACGGTTCCAAGTGGAATTCTGGCAGTCAAAGTTGCTCGGATGAGGATAACGACAACGAAGGCGGGGGAAAAAATGGCGAGGAGGATAAGGATCGCGAACGGAGCAAGGTGGAGGATCGTCTATTCAGCTTGAAGTGCAAGGATAGATTAGGCGGTCGGGTTAATTTGGAGAGATTGCAGAAGGACAAGCTGTTTCAACCGCGCGTCGTTCTGGAACAGCTGCATCTGTCGCAACTTCCCGAGAGCGCGCATCAAAATGTCGTTCGCCACGCGAGAACTAAGGACGCGGCGGCGAACGAGACGAAGCGAATGGAGGAAAGTAACGAGCGAAACGAGAAGGACGCAGTCGACGAGGCGGAAGAGGATGAAGAGGAAGAGGAGGCGGAGGAGGAAGAGGAAGACAGCGGGGAACCGAGTCGCGTGAACAAGACGGGCATTCAGGACATATTGAACATGATAGATGCAACGGCCTCGCCCGTTCTCGCCACCGACACTCCCAGCGCTGATCTACCGGTCGATTCCACCAAAACCTATGAAGTTCTTGACGAGAAGCAATGTGTAGAAAGAAAAGTCAAGGACACGAAATCCGACCATGCGAAAGATAGATCGAGAAGAGC